AAAAACATGTTTATATATATAATATATATTTTTATATATATATATATATGAATACACACACACACACACACACACACATACTTTACACTTTATCCACAGATTCACTTCTAAGTCTCCTTTATAAAATAGTATAGAAGGAAGGAAAGAAGAATTAAGAAGGTACTATCAGTGCTCTTAGGAAAAACAAAAAAACACAGTACATTGAAAACCCTGTTTAAGTTTCCTTTCTTCTGAAAGAAATTCTGCCATAATTAAAGGAAAACAAAAATTGTTAAAGCCATAAATTCATAAAAACAAGAAGTAAAAATCTTAGTACTAGAAAACAGGTAGACTATCAATAATACCTTAGAACTTTAAAAGGCTTAGGATTGGAACCACCTTTGAAATTGAACAGGGGGTAGGCATTAAAAGAAAGATTGGCCCTGGGTTTGATCTCCAGCAACCAACCCCTCACCGATACCCTCCCACAAAAAAAAAAAAAAAAAGAGGAGGAGGATTAGGATGCCACCAGGAGTCCTGATTCCCCACCACAATTCTATACTGCCAGACACCCGAGTCCTTGTTCAAAACTGAGGATTAATTCTTTTACAGAAGACAAAGTATACAGCACTCAGAAGTGAATGCCAGACAAGGCTGAGGGGTTGAGGATTAAGTAAATTTATGCAGAGTGAATGCTAAGAGACTACAGCCTTCTTTCCTGACATAGTTCCCAGAACACAGGCACAAAGCCTTTATGTTCCAGACAGGAGACTCAAAGATGATTTTTGTTTTGTTTTGGTTTTTTTGGTACTGGGGATTTAGTCCAGGGGCACACTACCACTGAGCTACATCTCCAGCCCTTTATTTTTTTATTTTTTATTTTTTTAAAGAGAGAGTGAGAGAGAGAGAGAGAGAGAGAGAGAGAGAGAGAATTTTTTTTAATATTTATTTTTTAGTTATCGGCGGACACAACATCCTTGTTTTGTATGTGGTGCTGAGGATCGAACCCGGGCCGCACCCATGCCAGGTGAGCGCGCTACCACTTGAGCCACATCCCCAGCCCAGCCCTTTATTTTTTGAGACACGGTCTTACTAAGTGGCTGAGGCTGGCCTTAAACTTGTGATCATTCTGCATCAGCTTCCCAAGTTACTATATCAGGAAAATGGGAATACGGGAAGTATGCGTGTAGATAATAGCAGTGAAGGGGGAGATGTAGTCCTAAAACCTGAAGTCCTAATAAAAAAACATGTAATTAAGAGACAAAGAGGTAAAGGTCAAAAGAATCATCTAAACAAATTAGGATTGCCTCTGTGGAAGAGGAAATTGGGGCCCTGTTGAAAAAAAAGGGTTGGAGACTAGGTTTTTCTTACTATAGAACTAGTCAACTCTTCAAACTGTGCTTTTATGATTCTGGCAAGTATTAACTTCAAAGAATGATGCTATCAATGTTCTCAGAAAAGTATACATCCCAGTGAAAAAGGAAGCAGAGCAGCTGTGTAAACTCTACAGCATCTATGCTAAGACCATGACCATCCTCCTCTCGGGATAAATACAAAACATGCCATAATTCCACATCTCCTTGCAGACACTGACTTGAAGCAGCGGTCACTTGTGTCTAAAGTTTGAAGAAGTATACTGGGAAAATGTTTCTAAGCAACTAACAGATGAAATAATCAAAGTCATTTAAAATCATTTAGAGAAAATTCATTTGGACATCTGTTAAGGTTTTTTGTTTTATTTAAACAGAGGAAATTCATTATTTTTTAGAAATATAATTATATGATATAAACTCAAGAGACGTTCCCAATAGGGGAAAGTTTAAATTTAATCTCTGTTCTCTGTTAATATTTATAAATTAAATTCGTGTGTGTGTGTGTGTGTGTGTGTGCGCGCGCGCGCTGGGGACTGAACTGAAGCCTCACGTATATTAGGCAAGTGCTGTACCCTGAACCATGCCCACAGCCCACAAGACTTTTTATAACTAACATGAATGAAGCAAAAAAAAAAAAAAAGTTTATAAATTTGAATCTCTACTAGTTGTTTAATTCCTGTATCTAAAGCATAATCTGCCTTACATTTTAAGAAGAAATGGTATCTTTTTAATCTTAATTTTTAATTGGTTTTTCAGACCATAAGCCAATATTTAGTATAATGGACATTCTCCCATATTTATTTTATTAGTGCATTATAGTTGCATATAATGATGGAATTTGTTACATATTCATACATGTCCACAATATAATAATATAATTTGGTCAATATAATCTCCCTTTATATCACTTTCCCTCTGCTCCTACTTCCCCTGGCCCTTTCCCTCTACTCTACTGATGGACATTTAAATAAAATTCTTACAAGTATTTTATTATAGTTTTGTCAACTGTGCTTATTTTGTCCTATACACTAATACCAAATCATCAAAAAAAATCACAAAAACGCACAATTCACTCAAAATTTCTTTTCTCCCCAATCCCCTAGTGCCTGCAATAATTTCATGGTCTGGAGTACTAAAAAAGTATTAGTTTTTCTACATAAGCTCTTGAATCTAAACATTATGTAAATATGTTTAAATGCTTGATTTTTTTTCCCTAGTGTTATCTGCATCTACATGGTCTAACCTTATAGTAAAATTTTGATTCTTTTTGTTTAGATGGGGACAGGTCAAGGGCAGAATGAAAGCTGAAATATAAAGTAACTCATCCACCTTAAGCTAGCCATTAGTTTCAACTTCTACCAGAAGATGTTAAATAGAACTGCTCATAGGGAATATTTTTTTCCAATTGTTTGTTTTTCTTCTCCATTGGGACATGTTAATTAGTGAGAGAACTACAATTATGACATCCCTGAAAAAAGAGAACCCCTGGGAAAAATGTGAAGAATCTGTAGTTAACTATAGATGGAAACTTTTAAGTATGCTTTTTTTCTCTCTTTTCTTTTTTTTTTTTTTTGCAGTACTGAAAACTGGACCTAGAGGCTTGTGCATGGTAGGCAAGTGCTTTCCCACTGAGATACATCCTCATTCCTTTAAAAAAAATTTTTTTTTGTAGTTGCAGATGGACAGAATGCCTTTATTTTATTTGCATATGGTACTAAGGATTGAACCCAGCGTTCTGTCACTGCGCTTCAGCTCCAGCTCCAGACCATATCCTCATTTCCTTTTTAAATTTTATTTTGAGACAAAGTAAAAACTAAGGTCCTCACCTAGTCACCCAGGCAGGCCTTAAACTTGCAATCATCCTCCCTCAGCCTCCCAAGTAGCTGGATTATAGGTATGCACTACTACAACCTGTTTTTTATAAAATCATGTTTGTAAATTGCTAGTCCTAATACCATATCAATACTTTTGAGGGGGTGGTTTGAACTAAGATCCAATTTTAGGAGGATTTCCATTTGGGATTTGGTGAAATGGAAATGCAAGTAGGAAAGTTATTCATTTGTTTATGTTCTTTTTAAGAGTAGAAAATTTGCCCTGGTTTCTGTGACCCAAATTTGCTTTCCTACTTCTGAAAGAAAGCATTCTTGCATGCCTGATGACTATCCTCAAATATTATTGGCTTGAGGTTCTGTAGGTCAGTGGAAAGTTAGATTTCAAGAAAAGAGAACAGATGCAGATTTGGGTTATTTGCTTCAGGATCTGAGCTGGAAAAGCCTGTTAACACATTATTCTCATCATGTAACAGCCAATTCCTACTGCACAGTAAATCTTGTTTTATTTTTCTGGTCTGAGCCAAGTTATATTGTGCCTCACCTGTCTACTCTTCAAATCATTACTCCCTTTGCTGAAAGAAGCAGCAGGCTATTACTGTGGCAATAAGGTATTTGGTGAACTGGCAAACAGGCCTGGTGCACTGAAATTTACACTACTGAAGAATGTTTAGTTTTAACTGTAAGTAACTTACTGTTGCTGTCTATTGTATTTCCAGAAGATAGTACAATGGGATCTTACCTGTCTTGATTGGAAAGTTGGTATTTCTTTCATCATATCAAAGATATTCAGTCTCATTCAAATTGTTCTATCATCTCAATTTTTAAGTGGAGTTAGGGGATCATTTCTTCTTTGTCCTTCACAGTGGACACCCTTTTCTTTCCTCTCTTCCTTCTTTGGTTAAATCGTGAGCTCACTTTCAGTTGAATTCCCCACCCCCGCTGGGAGCCTAAAGCATGCTAAAATTTGGAACTGTTGCTGAAGGACTGCTTTCCATTTGTTTCTTCCAGGCACCCTAGATTTCACCAGTTCTTGATCAGCAGCAATGGCAAGGTGCTAAGCAACTCAATGACCCTGTCTTTACATAAATCAGGGCTGGGGATGTGGCTCAGTGGTTGAGTACCCCTGGGTTCAATCCCTGGTACACCCCCCCCTCCAAAAAAAAAAAAGCTAAGAAAAAGGTTTCCTAACATTTAATGAGTAAAAGAATAAATAAATAATTCTGTCAAGGCATAACTTTTGTTCTTAAAAATAAAGTAAAATTATTTTCCTTAGTTATTTCAAGTTCTATTCCACAACTAATATAAGGAAGAGAAAGGGTGCTATGATTGTCCTCTAACAGTTTATGGCTGGTCTTTAGTTATGCTGGTGTTGAAGCAGGGAGGATGGCCTAGTGGGAGAAGGTTAGGTCACTGGGTACCCAGCCTTTGGAAGACATTAAGGAAGTCCTTATGGGACTCTGCTCAGGTCTTGTGAGAGCAAGTTGTTATAAAAAGAGCAAGACTGGCCCCACTTTGCTCTTTGGCTTCTTGTCCGGTCATCGTCACCTCTCCCTCTCACACATGTTCCTGCCAGGATGCCATCCACCAGCCATCCTTGGCTTCATCCAGGATGAAGCCAAGGGGCAAGCAAGTGTTGGCACCATGCTCTTGGACCCCCAAAACTACTAGTTGAATAAATCTGTTTTCTTTATGAAACACCCATCCTCAAGTATTTTGTTACAACAAAGATACATGGGCTACTACAAAGGAATCATTTATATAAAAATGAAAATTGGCAAGATATCATCTAATACTACCCAAGTAAAGTAAAACTGACCTGTAGGTTATTCAGAGGTTCCATCTTCATGACTGGGCCCAAGGTATTGAGAGGCAAGGAAACATCAATGCTCTGGTTTGGCATCAGTGGTGTATGGATGGCCAGAGGAGTGCTTGGGATGACACCAAAGCTTGAAGAGAGGATGAAGAAATCATAGAAATTAATCAAGATTTAGCCAGATCTTTCGGTTTCAATGGCTTTCTACTTCATTTGGAGAAAAAAAAGAAAAAAACATTTTTAATACAATTAAATGGAAGGAATAGTAGGTAACAAGTTGCTCAATTCCAACTTGCTATAACATTGATGATGTCATACCTCTGATTTCCATTAAATGGATTTGAGGAAAATGAAAACATTCCTAAGTACAGAACTATTTTGCTAATGCTCTTATTCTCAAAGTTTATTCCATTTATCATGCCACTAGAGAGGTTTGATAAGCATTTCTTTTTATAAATCTTTCCTGAGGGCTGGGGTTGTGACTCACTGGTAGAGTACTTGCCTAGCAAGTGTAAGGCACTGGGTTTCTCAGCACCACATATCAATCAATAAATAAAAGTCCATCAATAATTAATAAAAATATTTTTTTTAAATAAATCTTTCCTTAGATAATTTTGGAAAGAAGATTTAAGAATCCCCATTCTGGGGGCTGTGGCTGTGGCTCAGTGGTAGAGCACTCACCTAGCATGTGCAAGGCGCTGGTTCAATCCTTAGCACTATATAAAAATAAATAAATAAGGGGCTGGAGCTCTGACTCAGTGGTAGAGCGCTTGCCTAGCATTCACACAAAGCGCTGGGTTCGTTCTTCAGCAGCACATAAAATAAAATAAGTATTTAAAAAAATAAATAAAAGTATTGTGACCAATTACAATTTAAAAATATTAAAAAAAAAAAAAGAATTCCCATTCTGTTAACAATTCCTCGTGAGGATGTGGGAAAAACCTAGTACAACCACTTTGGAAAGCAGTATGGAGATTCCTCAGAGGACTAGAAATGGAACCACCCTATGATCCAGCTATTCCACTCCTTGGTATGTGTTTAAGAGAGCTCAAATTAGCATTCTAGAGTGATATATCAATATCAATAAACATTTATGGCAGCAAAATTCACAACAGACAAGTTATGCAACCAGCCTAGGTATCTGTCAACAGACAAATGGATAAAAATAGGTGGCTTTAGGGCTAGCGATCTAGTTCAGTGGTAGAGGATGTATCTATAAAGTTCAATCCCCAGTATCCCAAACCAAATAAATAAATGAACGAATAAACAAACAAACAAATAAATAAGAATTTGTGCTTTAAATAGCTTTAGAAAGGAAGTCAGGGCTATGGTATTTATAAAATAACTAAAGGGATGATTAGAGATAATTAACTATCTATTTCAATTGTCAGAATGGGTAGAGAAATATTCGTTGGGCTGGGATTGTGTTTCAGTGATAGAGTGCTTGCCTAGCATGTGTGAGGCACTGGGTTTGATTCTCAAACAAAATAAAGATACTGTGTCATCTATAACTAATAAAAAAATTATATAAAAGGACTGTTTGCAGTCCTGGGAATCAAACCCAGGGCCTAAATTATTACTGGGACAGAAACACATGGCAGGGGCATGGTTCCAAATCTTCCAATTGCTCTTCTAAGTACAGAATAAAAGGCAAAAGACAAGTAGAGAGGAATGCAGGTTATGCACATTTCCTTTATTACAAAGGATTTCCCTAATAGCCCTGGCCTTTAGCAGGGTCAACCACTCAAAAATGACTGGAAAAATAACTGGTCTTAACAGAAGGAAACACAAACTTTTAGGTACTAAAATAATCTTTCTTTCTTTTTCTTTTTTTTTTTGGCGGGGATTGGGGGATACCAGGGATTGAACTCAGGGGCACTGGACCTCTGAGCCATATCTCCAGCCCTACTTTGAATTTTATTTAGAGACAGGGAGAATTGTTTAGAGCCTCACCTTTGCTGAGATTGGCTTTGAACTTGAGGTCCTTCTGCCTCAGCTTCCCAAGCCACTGAGATTACAGGCATGTGCCACACCAATCCTAGCCTAAAATGATTTCTAATGTGCCAAACTCTCAAATCCAAGACACCAAGTATTTCTATATGATTAGAAATAAATCAATCACTGATGCAAATTATCATTAACAAATATATTAAATCTGCTTTGAGGGTCCAATTACTACTTTGTTACAAGCGGAGTTGTATATCTTGTATTAACAAATGAATGATCCCACTGTTGAAGCCTAGCAGCCAGTTTCCTGAACTGCAAAATTTAATAAAACAAGTGATATTTGAGAAGTACAAGACCAACATTTTACTTCTCTGTGTTCTTTTTATTATTAAGGCCAAGAACTCATTGCTAAGAGCTATACACAATTATGTGTTTAACATGCAGACCGTCTTCCATATTTCTGACACCTCTGTACACTAGTTTTTTCTTACCAAAACATAAACTTTAGACATCAGGTTTCTTTGGTTCACAACTAAAGCACCAGTATCTAGAAATGTCTGGCATATATATGCTTAACAATTATTTGTTGAACAAACAAATAGATCCCAATTAAGTTTGTTTTAATTATTTTATTTAAAAATTCTAGTATTAGACTTCTTTAAAAAGAAACAATAAATAAGTTCCGATTTTTTTCATTCCATATGGATAAGTCTGTTTAAAGGATTTCATTGTTTAAAACACATTTAAATACACAATGTATTGAATCACATGCCTATAATCCCAGCATCTCAGGAGGCTGAGGCAGGAGGATCATGAATTCAAAGCCAGCCTCAGCAACTTAGCAAGGCCCTAAGCAACTCAGTGAGACCCTGTCTCTAAATAAAAGATAAAAATGTCTGGGGATGTGGCTCAGTGATTAAGTGCCCCTGAGTTCAATCCCTAGTACCAAAAAAACCAAAACCAAATCCCCAAACAAAAAAAAACACATGGATGAGTACACCCCTACCCCATCCCCGTGCCTCAAATTATCCAGGGCCTCCAGAGTTGAAGCTGAAAAAGGAAGATCCTGATCCCAGAGTCACTCTAAATTGAGTATCTGCCCACCTGTGAGTTTTTTACCCATGGTTAAATGAAACATTCTCTTATTACACACAAAGTACTCTGTTACGTTGACATCAAGCCAGGGACTCTTATTTCTTACCTATTCTTGTTAAACTGGATTGCAAAGTCTGTCATATGTTGCAGAGCTTTGTTGGTGAAGTTCATTTCCATATAGATGTGCCCTTGGCGGTGAGTAAATGTTCCTGAAATCTCTAAACCTTTAGCCTTTACTGCTGGTAGCCAGACCTGAAACAGTATGAAGCCCAAGACAACAAGATATGATTTATCTTGATGTTATTTCCTTTTTTAACAAATAAAGATGAAGCCAAGATTTCATTTCCTCAGGCAATTATGGTGATTTTTATGCCATAAACATCAAGTCAAGAAGGGTCTGGACAAAGTAGTATTTTCTGAAATTTGTGACTATTCTCGATTATTTAAGAACAAACACGCAAAAAAAAAAAAAAAAACCCAAAACAAAAAGAAAACCACCACCTACTGGTGACCCAGGCCCTTTCTCTATCCTCTGGTTAACTTGGTAGTTTTACTGTTTTTGAGTATTACTACCAAAATACACAATACAAGTAAAAGAAAAAATTCTGACAGTATAATTTTTTAAGAAGTTCATCATTATCAGTAATCTCCTTAGGGAAAAAGACCATGTCTTACCTATATTTTAACTCTTGCTATTGTTTCTGATAAATAGTAAATACTCAAGATTTGCTTAAGTAATCTGAATGCCTTTTCTCATACATATAATTGATTCATTACCCACCCCTTGGTCCCACTGTGACATTACTGGCTTATACCTGTTAAAAACATTAAAAAAATTTTTTTTTAGGTTGTCAATGGACCTTTATTTTATTTATCTATATACGGTGCTGAGAATTGAAGTCAGTGCCTCACACATGCTAGGCAAGTGTCCGGCAACTAAGCCACAACCCCAGCCCAAAAAACATTTTTTTAAAAAATTAGAAATTCATGAGCTGTTCTGATCAGCTAAGACAAAAAACCAGAGTTTGTGGGTGGCGAATAATCATGATAATATACAGAAAAAGAAGAAAGGAGGGGAAGAAGAAAAAGATAAACACTTTTAAGTTTTTTTTATATCTACTTATCAGAGGATCAAAATTCGAAAAACCCAATAATACCCAATGAAGAAGGATATAAGAAACTTGGCACTCTTATATTTTGTTGATGAGAAAGAAATGTGACACTACCTCTTTGGTAGGCAAGATAGTAATATCTGTTTGAAAACGTTTAAATGATCAAGCAAATTGCAAGATAACCCTATAGATACACTTACAATACTAAGTTGTGCCAAAACATTATGGCTGTTTTGTCATAAGTTTGGTTATTCTCTGCAATGGCTGTATGCACAGCATTATGACTCCTGGAATAGACAACTGGTCTACATCTTGATAGCAAGGATCCTCCCCTAAGAGTTAGATGAGCAGGCAGAGAAATCAGGAAGCAAGCAGATAGGCTGGTCTTCAGAAAATCAAGATATAATGAAGTCAAGCCTGATTTAGTACTTTTCCAAAGAGCTTAAATAAGCTTTGTTTACAGGGCGTTTCCCTGCCTTGTATTTAAATTTCACCATGAATGACATTATGCAAGGTTGATACTGGAAGAGCCCCAGGTTTGAGACACAAACCTCAATCAGAATTCTAAAGAGGTCCACTAAAATACATGAAAAGCAAATCTGAGCACTCTAGAATCCATATGTAATACCAATAAGGAAGGGAGAATAAAAGGAACAAGAAATGAAAAATGGTACTTCTCTCTGCTGTATCTTTTTCCTGCTTATGTACTATATATCAGATTTTCACTAGATTCACTTCACTGTTGACAAACTAGACAACATTTCTAAACATGAGAACAAAATCCAAATACTTAATATTTCCAATTTTAAATCTAATTATAAAAATGTTTAACAAGGATTCTAACAATGCTTTCTAGTGTTAATTTTGAAGTTGCCTTATATTTCTCTTTCAAGTTCCTCAGTACAAGAGCCAAATCTTGGATGTGTTAATAGTAGAAGTAATACAAATGTTAGAAGTGATTTGGGTTTGTCCATTAAGAGGGAAAAAATATATGCTATGCTAACTCTTTACTTACAGCCTTAGGAGCCACATATCCACCAGGTGCCATTCCTATCCCTGTGGAAAGTTCAAATAGGTCATTTAGACCACTGCTGACCACTGCAGGAGTAGGTGAAGGAGCAAAGGTGGCAGGCACTGATGACGGGATGAAGGACTGTCCCACCTGCAGGGGAGAAAAAGGGAGAGAGAAGATCAGGAAGAACAGATTAACAGTCCTTAAAATGCTATTAGTTTTAGCAGTATTGATATATCAATAAGAAAACACTATAATTAATGATATTCTTAGCTGCCAGATTAGTATATTATCTTTTTAGTCATCAAAGTTATTTTTTCATCACTAATAAGATACACACACTCTTCAGAAGCCTTATCAAGCAAGAGCATTCAGCAGGATACAGGAACATAGTGATCCAAGATTCTGTTTCCAATTTTAGCTTCCATGATTCTGTGCAAAAGGCCTATAGATACCCTAATAAAGGGGGAGTTTATTTCTATAGAAAGAGGGAGAAGCATCCAACTTAAACAGCAGTTTCATTTCCACTTGGGTTCAGCCAAATCTTATGTCCCCATTTAGGCATAAATATCTAATAGGAAGCTCTCCTGGGGGAGATGGTATTCACACTCCCATTAATAAGGAGTCTCACTGAGTCCAGGTGACTTTCTAAAGTTCTTTCTAGATGACACCAGGGAATAAGAGCATTCTCCAGTCAAGATGGGAGGTTCCATTTCCTTCAGCTCTTTAATGTCAGAAACACAAAGATCTCTATAGGCACCAGAGCAATCCCTGAAGATGTCCCTAGATCACATGTGGCACATGACTCCAAAGATTCCAAATAACCCTATACTACTATCTACTCCTCATATTACTATAAAGGTTTTGGTGTGCAGTGCTGACAGCAGCAGTGGCTGGTCTAATAATGTGTGCAAAGGAAAGGCATCAATCAGGGAGCAGTGCTTCCCATGGTGAAAAAAACGGATGGCACTTACTGCCGGACTTCCTCCAATGCCCCCGCCAAGGTCACTGCCAAGCTGAAAGAGAGAAAGGAGAGAGAGGAGAGAGAGGTAGAGTTCATTTAGCTAAGTACTAGATGCCCATATAGAATCTGAAAATTGCTCTACCGAGTTGTTGGAAATACATGCCATTCAACTTGTCTGTCAAAGCCTAAGAAAATTCTACATTGTAAAGAAATATGACCTAGGGGAACCCAAGTGGTAGTAGTGGTGGGGTGTGGCAGTTTTGAGAAAACTTGGAAAGAAAATGGAGCTGGGACATCTCAGGGATGTTTCAGATCCAGTCTTTCCACCAGGATACACAGGCACAAACCCAAACAAGATTTAAAGAGTTTGCATATTCCAAGAAGTTCTATTTCCAAGCAGCAATGTTTAAAATGTTTAATTCTTTAAAAAGAAATTTAAAGGGGGGAAAAAAGGAAAAGTAAAGAAAGACCAAAATAAGCTTTGATCTACAAAACCTGCTCCCTCAATGAGATGGTGGGAACCAAACCAGCATTGAGCTGCAATTTCAAGCTTCAAAAATTATAGGTGGAACAAAAGTGATGTTTAGAACCTTTGTAAGAAAGGAAACAGCTGGGATGGAAAGACATCCTGCCTGGGGAGAAGTGGATAGGCATGCAATGCTTCAAAGCCCTCTCAAAATCAATACAACTAAGGGGGAAATGCTGTGATTTATTTGGAGTAGGTCTTTTAAAAGAATGATAAGCATGAGGGAATTAGACTAATTGAATTAGCTGACTGACAGGAAAATAATTTCTACATTGTTATAGTCTTGCCCATTTTGAATTCACCCTGAAGGCAATCTCTCATGACAAAAACATTAAAGAAGAATAAAGCTGAAAATAGCTGGCATGCAAGAAATTTAGCTCACACACATATACAATTAATGGCACTGTTTTCAAAGCATAATCTTTTTTTTTTTTTTGCTACAGTTCCGTATTTGCTTCTTCCCTAGTTCTCACTATGTACCTACAATAATAAGCAAATGCTTTGTCTACTCTAAAAATAGACTACAAGTCTAAAAACTTTCTTTTATTTTCTTTCATCAGTTGTAGAAGTTTAGAGATCATTGTGCTGTGATTGTTAAAAAACAAAACTGTAATGCATCTTCAGGATTTGGGAAAGAGGATTTATTTACCTTGTCTATAAACTTATAATAGTATATAAAATGGTGTCGCCAAAACCTAAAAATTAATCTACACTCAAAACCTTTGAGGTCTATCACAAAATTTTGTTTCCAGGCTCAGAGAATAAACTTAGAAGTCACTTAATAACAAGCATGCTCTGTAACAAACTACAGAGCACTTCAAACCAGAGTCAACATTTCCAGAAGCTGGTTCCTGAAAATTACTAAACGGTGAGACATGGAATGAAAATCACATAGTTAAATAAAGAGGTCATCCCAGCCAAGAATTTGAATAACTGGAAAAGTGTGAAAGCAAATAGAAAAGACATTACACATCTGTGTTTCCCCTGGCTCTAGAAAAGCACACATCTGCAGCATGACATCTGAAAATCATGAAATTCCTTTTATTCAAACAGACTTATATAACATTTACTGCATGCAAGGCATGCAAAGATGCAAAGCAAGGCAATAAGAGGGCTGTACAGATAAACAGAACTAGGCTTTTCAAACTGGCAGGAGAAATAAAACATGAATGTGAAATCATACAGAATACTAAAGTAAAAAGAGGGAAGTTCTGAAGGGAAGAACCTCCTTCTGGTTGAAGAATAATGAAGAAAAGATTCAAAGAAGTAGTAGTGTGTGTTTATCATGAGAGGGATTACAAAATGCAAAAACAGAGGAGGGGTATTTCTCAAACAGGATGAACAAAGACTGAAAAAGGAGGCATGAACCATGATTAGGAAAAATGAACAGACTAATTAGACTGGAGCATAGATTTCTTTTTTTTTTTTAAAGTTGCACAAAGTATGCCTGCAAAGGCAGTCTAATTGGGGACATCTTTAAGTTTTAATTTCCCCTTTATAGAAATCTGGAGGTTTCTTAGACTATGATTCAAACTTTCAAATACTAATAACTATTTCTATTATGTACAAGTAAGTATGATTTTCAAACTTACATACACAATGGAATCAATCATCTGTTTGTGTATGTTTGTTGGGAGGGGAGTGTTAATGCTTTAAAAATGCTATTAGCCAGGAGCAGAGGTGCACTCCTGTAGTTCCTGCTGGCAGTAGGATCACTTGAGCCCAGGAATTTGATAATAGCCTTGGCAACATAATGAGACCCCATTTCAAAAAAATAAAATTAAAAAATGTTATTGCCTGAGTCTTATTCCCAGAGACAGTGCTTTAATCATTCTAAAGGGTAGTGTGGGTATCAGAATTCTGAAAAGCTCCCCTAGTTGATTCTCATGTACAGCTGAAGTTAAAAACATTATAGAGAATTAATTATTAATTGGGGTACACATGGTTCATCTGTTCAGAAATTACTTTAGAGCTTACATCTGAATAAAAAGGAGGTCAGAATTTGGGCAAAAAGAAAGAAAAACCCTTTCTTTCTAAGGAAGGTGAGGAAAGGCTAAACACAAAAACCATGGAAAGGGCTCTACAAAACATCTCATTTGTACTGATACTTTGAGGTGGTTTTATGACCTTCTATTAGGCTTACTCTTTATCCTGTCACCACTTCCTCCTCTAGCCAGGCTTAGAACCTAAGCTTAGAGAGAATTTTTTATGGACCTGGTTGGCAGTCAGTGGTAAAGAGAAAAAATCCAAAACAAAACAAATGGAAAGGAAACAGTAGTAAATATGCTAAATACAATAAAAGATATTGAGAAAAAGTATTCATTGGATTTTTTTTCAATGTTTTAGTTGTAGTTGGACACAATACCTTTATTTATTTTTTAATGTGGTGCTGAGGATCGAACCCAGGGACTCTCATGTACTAGGCAAGCACTCTACCACTGAGCCACAATCCCAGCCCTTTCATTGGATATTTTAGAACAAAAGAAATAAAGACCCATTTATAGCCCTTTTTATTTAGAATTTATTCCTTGAATATCATGTGAACATTTTCTTAGATGGAAAAGACACAAATAGAGTCTTTCCTGTGGTCAATTTTATTCAAAACAATGGAAGAAATTGAAAAACAACCCTGAGACTCCTTTGTTTATGATCAGTATATCAGAGACAACTAGCTAGATGAATCAAGAACTCTTGTGGTACGTATACAGAATGGAATATTACTCAGCCATAGATAAGAATGAAATTATGGCATTTGCTGATAAATGGATGGAACTGGAGGCTATCTTGCTAAGTGAAATAAGCCAATCCCAAAAAACCAAAGGCCAAATGTTCTGATATGTGGGTGTGGACTCACAATAGCAGAGGGGAGGGAGTAGTGTAGGTTCACCAGATTGGACAGGGGGAAATAGGGAAGAATGAGGGAGGATGGGAATGGGAAAGACAAATTGGACATAACTTTCCTATGTGAAAATATAGGAATATAAATACATATATGAATACATCAGGGTAACTCCGCATCATGTACAACACAAGAATCATGTACAACCCCATGTATGTATGATATGTCAAAATACATTCTACTGCCATGTATAACTAAAAAGAACAATAACACGCACACCAAAAAAAAAAAACAAAAACAAAAAACTCTCACTTAACACAGACAAGGTCCAAAGGGTATCAGAGACACATAGCCAGTAATGTAAAATTTCACCTAATTGTGCCATGTCCAGAGAGTACAGACAAAGAACAACTTCAATATGTGTTTTCTAACTACACCTCATTCAGACTTTATTCTGCATCTTTTCTCTTAACTAAAAAAGGTCCCAAGGGAAGAAAATCCTCCTCTCCAAAAATATGGCAAGGTGCTAGCACAATGACTAGGGCAGGGGCAGTGAGTAATAAATATCTGACAGCAAGGATGGAAGCCAGTTACCCAGTAAATGGCCTTACCTATCTACTATAGTGACAAGCAGGATGAAGCAGAAAATTATGAAAAAAAAATTAATAAAGCTGAATAAAACTCAGGAAACTGGTTGTATATCAGCCTGAACTAGACAATATCCATTTCTAGTTCATTATTCAGAGTCAGGTTCATCTATTAGGGAATACTCTCTGGGCCATACTTATCAGGAGCCCATATTAAATTAATACTTGTGAAATTCAGAGTGATATCAGTTATCCAGTGAGCTAGCAGGAGTCAGGAGTGAAAAAGAAAGAGTGTAGAAAATGGCTTTACTCCTGGTCTCAGTTATCTAGATACTGTTTAAAGTGTCTCCTGGAGTTATCCACAGCCCATTGTTCCCAGGATTGCTTTACTGAGGCTGCCATTTTCTCCATGAAGGAAATAATGTCAATTACAGGCCAAATGAATCAGCACAGAGGAAGGAGGGAGAGGTGCCAACTTTAGGAAAAGAATATTTCAAATGCTAAAAACTGAGAATTCTCCTAAAGATCTTTAGCTGATGCCTAAGTTCAAATTTTCTGCTAGTGGTATAGTTCCCCCAGTCCCCAGTCTAAATCATAATAGCTGTTATCACTAAGAATGAAGTTAACATTTGGCTAGTGCCAAAGTCTGCCTGACTCAAAGAAAAAATGTTTTTATCAAGGAATATCAGCTGAGATGGCCACTGAGGTACATCTACTTGCTTTTAAAACTGTGAAGCCTGTCTGGGTATACTTTTTTTTTTTTTTTTTAATGATAGGTGTATATCTTAAGCTCAGATATTTTTATGCTCCTGTCTACAGTGCTTACCTCTTTTATGTCATGCTTCCCAAAACTCACTGAATTGAAGGGAATCCAAGAAATTCGTCAGGTAATACGGCTTACCAGTTGTTAATATTCAGGAGTCAACAACAAAATGATGTCGAAATAGGATACAGTGATTTCCATCACAAACAATAAAACTGTTTTCAAAATCCCAGTGGAGTCAAAAACATCTATTTTTCTTATTAGGGTTTAGATATTAGAAGGCACACAGCATCTCATAGGTGAAAGCATGGTTCTCAGCAACTGGCTCTCCCAACAG